CGATGCATCTGATGCACTTCACCACAGATTCTTCACATGAATAGAAAACAAAAGGGGCCCAGAATGATGCCCTGAGGCTCATCTTTAAGGATACTTAAGCACTGAGACCAATTACTAAGTTAGCTTAAAAAAAACAAGCAAGTAAAAGCTCGTGGTCGTGAAAGTGCGATGCTTTTTTCTAAAACTGATTGATGAGTTGATGGAATTTTTTACGTGTATAAAAACTCTTTAGTCATTACTGACAAATCTGAAAAAGAGCCTGTAGATACTGAAGCAGTTTGGCTCGCCCACTTTCACGTCTGGAAAAGAAAAAGCAGATTTTTATAGCTTTGTTTTTCTCCGTCAGCCCTGCGAGGTTCAACAGATATCCAAGAGACTCAGCTACAAAATCTGCTCCCGGTTTTAAGAACCAGGGTCCCATTGAACTGGGTCCTGAGTCTAGTTCTTGGGTTGGTATTTCTGGTTTCAGTTATTAGTCAAGGTCATTATCAACGATCATGTTTCCTCCTCTACCTCACTGCTGTGTGGAGTCCCCCAGGGTTCAGTCCTGGGACCACTCCAGTTCTCCCTTTCCATGTTTCCTCTTGATCAGCTGTTCACTCATTTCCTGGTATGTTATATCACTGTTACACTGATGATGCACTAGTTTATTTTTCTGTGGTAAAGGTCTGTGAAGTCTGTTCGAGGACTTTTGCTGGTAGAGGGAGTCGGGGGTCTTTTCTGCCTCTTTTGACTGACAGGAAGTAAAATCGAGAGTGGGGAGCTGGCCGAATAGATTCTCCAGATTTTCCTCAAATTGGCAATTAGCTTTAATGAGGGCTTTAATTTTAATGAGAGGCTCGCAGATATCTTGGTACATTTGGTTCATTACATTTGTGACCCCCACCCATGCTAAATGCTAAATGGACTGCACTTAAAGAGCGCTTTTCTACCTCTCAAACCCTCCACTCCAACACGGAGGCCTGTCTGTTCCACTCGGACAGACTGAAGAGCGGAGGCCTGCTGGCTAACGCTCTCCAGCAGTTCACTGACCCTCCACCCAATCAAAGCTCATTTCTTCAGCACCGCCACCCCCACCCTTGTCTTTAATTTCATAATTATTTTATCTTTTCCCTCACAAACGTCAATCCATCTTATTCTAATGAAGCTCGGATCTCGCCGCGTCCAGCAGCATCGGAGCGGTAACGATCCTCAGGCCACAGCCGCGGCCTCAATTAGATTATCCGTGGACCCGGGGAGGGATGGAGGGATGGAGCTGAGGCAGAAGAGGAGAGGGGGAGGATGTTGGTGGTGGGATGATGAAGATGAATGGCTTGATGGAGGATGTTTGATATAAATTGTGTTAATGGTTTTAATCCCTCTGAGTGCAGCAGGGAGTAAAGCAGTCGATGTAAACCTCGGCTGTGTTAGCCTCAGGGAAAACACAGAAAACCTGCATCACTAAGGACAGAAAGTGGACAGTTTTTTTTCAGAGATGTTTGGAGGATCACTTTGAGAAGTAATCCAAAAACTACAGCAGAACCACCACAGACTGAGCCGATATCATCGGCCTTCCCAGCACAGAAGAGTACAGTAACATCGCTGATCCATCAGTCTGATGGAGAAGTCCCTCTGTAAACACTCTGGAGTAGACCCGCAGGCTGCTCATACCACTTTTTTAATGTAAACACTTCTAAACCTCCCTCACAGTGGGAGGTATTTCCCCACTTCATGCTGTGTTAATTGCAATGCCGTGATTAAGGGTTATCACATTCTACACCCACGCAGACGCCTGACAAACAGTCCCAGTGGGATTTTAGAGTAATGCTTAGAGTCTATAGAAACTGAAGCTTTACACAGAGGAGGGGGATCAGGATCCAGATTAAAACTGAGGGACCGAACCCCACCACTGTAAACCTGCATCCTCTACCTCCACCAGGGGGCTCCACTCATGTATTCTTCTGCAGATAAGGTTAGTATCCAACAGTTTCCAGGGACCAAAACCAGGACTGGATGGTCCTGATCTTCAGGGCATTAAAAACAGACAGGACTCTGAGGTGGAAATCACCGCATGGAAAGGACAACTGGACTTACTTGAGACGTTTCCGCCTTACGGGCAAAACCCACAGGATCCGGAACGGCTGCACTCCGCTTCAACATGGCAGGCGGATCAAATATTCCACAGAATCCATCGGCCGTACGGCTCCGCTGCAGATCAGCTCCGGCGGCTTTATCAGATTCGCAAGGCTTCTAATTTTGCCGGACGCCACAGCACGGCGCAGTATCCCTGATGGTCTGGGGATCACCAGAGTCCATGTCATGGGTATCTTCCACATCTGTGAAGGCTCCATCAATGCTGAACAACATCTCCAGGTTTAGGAGCGACATCTGCGTCCATCCAGACAAAGACTTTTTCAGGGAAGACCTTCAGATGATCCCAAACCACATTCTGACAACAGGAGAAGAGTCCTGCTGAGAAACTGATGCGGTCCTGACTTGTCCCCCATTGGAAACATTTGGACTACCATGACCCCAAAACCAGGACCAAGGAGACCCTGAACTGTTGAGCAGCTGAAGTCCTCTATCGGGCCAGAATGGGACAACATTTGACTGTCAGACTCCAAAACCTGGTCTGCTGGGTCCACTAAGGTCTACAGAGGGTTGGAGAAAGAAGAGCTGAGGACACACAAATTTAAAATTAGCACAAATTTGTTGTCGTGACTACACAACATCTACATGTTTGAAGAATTTTTGGATGTAGATCCGTTCACACATTTGCAGGTTGTTTTGCTGCAGCATTAACTCCATAGATTTCACACCGTAAAGTCATTTTCTGCAAGAGTTTCAAGGCCCGGCACAGTCGGTAATTACCTGCTGGGCCTTGTGTGTTTGTCCAATCAGGTGTGTGAGGAGAGTCTGCAGGAGTCTGAGTGAAGAAGAGAGCTGTCAATCATCTCCTCTTCAGCCTAATGATGTCCACATCTAGTCAAAAACTTTTCCCCAGCTGCAGCAGGAAGAATAGTTGGTGGATTTTGGAGCCTGGCTGTGTTTTCTGTTTCTCAGCGTGGGTATGAAACAGCCTCAGACAGAATACCAAGACATAAACACATTAGTATACTGCTGCATATTGTAATGTGTCCCTGACATTTCCTCCCAATTACTCACTAATGCTGCATCCACAGCACAATGTCTCTGCATTTATCACTGGAAATTGATGCAATTTATATTCATCTGGCACAATGACACAATAGCACAGTATGGGAATGGATTTCCTACTTCAATGGAAACCACCGAGTGTGAATGGAAATGGTGAGATAAGATATTTAAGAGGCAGCAGCAGCAGCAGCAGCAGCAGCAGAGGGCAGGAGATGGAGATTTAAAGGCTGAAAGAAACAACTCCTCCCTTTAGGTTCAGCTTTTCGTTATATCAGGCTTTAATGTCTTTGTTTTTACCTGAACAATTACCCAAAATTCTTTAAATCAGTTCACTGTAACTGTCTGTTTTACTCCAAACTTAATCGCGATGGTGAGAAAGTTGGCTGATCGGGCAGAAAAGTAGGTAGAAGCTGCATCCAGGTCAAAAGTGCACATTTTCTCTCCGTTTTCATCCGTTCCAACTCTTCTAACTCTAGATCAGGGGCGGAGCTGTTCCCCGTATCAGGGGCGGGACTCAAATACTCTCGTCAGGTAAAAAGTGTCTGAAGGATGTTCTTGGTGTGGGTTTCTGTGCAGAGCTCGCCTCATATTTGAGAACTGTTCAATCAGTTCATTTCATTTAGTTCACCTTTGCATTTAATTACAGATTAGTGATATTCTTACATTCACCACACACCTGGAGTCATCAGCCCATCTTTACCTCCTTCACAGATCTTCTTCAGACAGTCTTTGCCTGAAGATCTCTCCAGGTTTTGATCTACCATGCCGACCCAAATAAAAAACAACCTTGATTATAAGGTAACCAGATCCGATCCATAAATATCAGGGACGATTTCAGGATCAGTTTTAGTCACATGGTGTCATCTCTGTGGGTGAGTCTGCTGACAGAGTAGAAATACAAAACACATCTGTTTCGAATGGATTCAGATTATTCCAGATTATTTTTCCTTACAGGGGGGTGTTTCATTTTAGTCCCATTTTTGACCCTCAGTATATAATGATAATTATATATTATTATTTGGATTAAATGTTGGTCAAAGGTCAGTGATATCACTTCATCCTGTCAGTGTCCCAGTCTCTTAATGAACAGATTTCCACCATTTTCATTTTGCTCATGATCGAAACATCAGCTTACCTGGTTTTATTTCAGGTATGTGTTTTTAATCATCATTCCAAATTCAAATTAATTCAAGTATAAAAGCAAAAATGAATCCTGAAAAAAACGGAGGTCGTCTCCTAATCAGGGTGCTCTCATATTTGGGTCATTACGGTATTTGCATTTTCACCTGTAGATGTTACGAACTCCTACGCTAACAGAACGGTACGCTGTGATACAATCAAGGTAGTTTGTTGTCGAAGTGACTGAAAAAGAGAAAAAGTATAAAAGTAAGATTTTTTTTTCAAAGTTCTATCGGAATATGACGATATTTTGAAGTCCGCTGTCAGAGCAGTAACCTTAAAAAAAACGTCATTTTCACGTTCAGTCGGAACCAGCGGCTGACACTGTGCGTTTCCTCCATGTTTACGGTATATCTCAGGTTTTGCTTCATGATACTGAAAGTGAGAGATGTCTGTTTACTGTGTGCTCAGAAGTACCGACCACATATGCTGAAATGTGGACTGAATAATGAGTTCGGCCGGCGTGGCGGGCAATTTCTCGAGCGCTGTCATAATCAAAGCGGGGGATTTGTTCTGCTCGGGCGTATCAGGCCTGAGCCGAGGGAAGAAGAGGAGGAACACAGAAAGGAAAGCTCTGAATACAGTGTTTGACTGTGACACCGCTGCCTCCAGATAAATTTGCAAAGTGTGTTTCCATCAAATATGACCCCGCTGCTCGCCAATTATCTCTGCAGGGCTGCGTCTTCTCAGCGGCCGAGGTCGACCCTGTCTGTCAGCTGCTGTCCGTCCTCCTGGCTGACGGGGGCAGGGGGGATGTAAAAGCATGTCTTCATCGGCAAATAATCACTCCCAGAAAGCATGCAATCTGCAGGGTCGGAGGTCGGAGCTTCCATAAACACACAGCGCCCGGCTGGCAGAGGAAGACCCGGTGGTCACCTGCTCCCCGGAGCGAATGAAAGGCTGTTTGCTTCCTGTCGGTGAGGAGCTGTTGTTTTCTTTCTGCTGACGGGAGCAGGTGGAGAGCTCTGCCGCTGCCGCCGCCGCAGGCTCGACCTCCTCACACTTTTCACTAAGAGCAAATCTGTGTCTGTCACAGCGCCTGAGGAGGCTAGCAGACCCAACAGGTTCAATCCACTGATACTCGACCTGGTGGGCGAGGCGATAAATGATCCTTTAAATTACATGCAGCAAAACCCTGCAGGCAGCTTCTTCAAGAATACAATTAACACACGGTTAAAATCAAGGTCGGATAAACAGATAAGGGAGTACAGCTGACACACCACAGGAGAGGTCCTTTATACGGGGGCCCAAGTTCTCCTGTGGGGAGCATGCATTACACCGGATTCACCAGAGTCACTGCGGTCCGGCAACAGATGATGTCAAAGACGTACACCAGTTTCTCCTCTGGGGAGCATGAATATCCTCAGAAATGTTGATGGAAAACCAGCTTTTGAGAGTTCGGGTTCAAAGTTACACTAAAGCTCTCAGAGATTCACCAACATCACGACTAAAGAAGAGGCTAAATCAAAAAGGTTCATCCTCTGGGGAGCAGGAAATGGAAATCCAGACTATTGTGATCGTGTCTGGAACATGTACATGAATGGCCTGGTGGAGATTCACTTGTCGTTTGTCCCATTTGTACATCAGGTGAGCAGGAGAGGTCGGTGCTTCCTTACCGGTCAGGTCTACCCTCTGAAGGTGTGACAGGCTCAGATTTACACTGTCATGTGTTCAGAAACAGGGTTGTGAAGATACAACCAGCATGAGTCAATTAGAGATGGAGAACTTTTTCAATACAGCTCACCTACTCTCTTCCAGCAGACGCTTGTTTGTAGAGAGACCTCAGGCCAGTCCATTACAGACTACAGCGGGGTGCCGCAGCTCAAGGAAGAACATTTATGATAATTTCTTCATCATTTCCTTGAAGTAATAATCACCATATTAATCATTTTACAGACGCTGTAGTTCTTCTGTCTTAGCGCCTCGGTCTGTATATGTCCTGTTGATGAAGTTAGGTGCTGTTCTGAGCATTATTTGTGGCTATAGAGTGGCGTTTTGGTTGAGGGCGTGGCTCTCTGTATTACTATCCTGCGGTCGTTACTAAAGTTGGTATAACTAGAGAAGTAAGCGGTCGGCAACATTCAGCTCTGGAGGGGGGGTCTAACTCGCTGTTACGGTGAGTTTGACCTTAACTTAATTTTACGCCAGAATATCCCTTTAAAGAAAGTGAACACTGCGACAAGTCAGAGATCAGCCAAATGAGTTGTTGCGCTCGCTTGGTGGCAGAGCAGCAGAACTGAACTCCAGTTTACTGTACAAGCTGCTTTGCATCATCACAAAAGCCTCTAAAACACTTGGAGGGCTAATTACGGGCCGCCGGAGCAAACAAAAGTGCAACAACACAACAGAAAGAGGATCAAAGAGCTTATTTCCTGAGGAGTCGGCGTGCTTCAACAGCCTGACTGGAGGTACCGAGATCAACAGCGTGCAGAAAGTCACGCTCCTCATCTGATGTGGCGAGGGCTCGAGTGGGTAAGTAGCGGTTCACGGCCGTACCATTATCCCGCTGAGGGGCCGCTGGGTGATTATAGCCTGTTGCCCCGGCCGCGGGCTGTCGAGCCTCGTTAATACAGCTCTGGAGGTGGGCTAATTGGTGCTTAATTACTATAGTCGGCCCACCAACAGTCAGCGCGAACAGCTGCACCCAGCAAAGAAACAAAAAGGAGGAAGGGAAAAAACCTGAGGGATGAATAAGCAACCCGAAAGAGCGAGCCACTCAGAGAGCGTTTGTTCTGTAATTGTGAGAGGAAGCAGGAGGAGGGGGAACACGCTACGGCAGCTCATTGGGACAAATTGTTAAGATGTGAATTATAGATTTCAACAAGCACTCCTCAGGTTTATTCTCCGCCGAGCTCCCGGGCTTCAGAAACAGCCTCGCTCATGAAAAGTTAAGAGGACAGATGGCGGCAGAAACAGACACACATGGCTGACGGGAGGGAGGGCTCAGCACTTTGACTGTACGTACATTCAATAACAGAGAGGGGGATCAGAGCGGGGGATCAGAGCGGCCCTGAGCATCAACAGATCAGACCTGCAGACCAACAAAGAGGCCCCCTTCCTTCTCTTTCTCTCCCTCCCTGATTACTCCACTCAGACACATTTGATTATGTCGAGCAATTTGCAGGGAAAGTGTTTATTTGGCAGAAAGAGAAAGAATTGACGAAAGCGTCGAGTCAAAGGAGAGGAGGTTGTGTCGCCCGGCTTGTTGACAAGTGTTTTCATTCAGCTATTTATGGTGTTTAAAAGTGCAGCGCTGCACAAAGGGACACAAAACACTGCAGAGGCTTTTCTCCTCGTGTCGGGGAATAAAGAGGAAACACACAGCCTTGTTTTTAGGGTTAACGTGCTCAGATTTAAACACAGGCACCCTAAACCACAACAGTCTACCTTTGCAGGTCTGGGCCAAGTCTGAGGAGACTACGACCCACCTGTTGAAGGAGTTTTCTTGCAATAACACAGATCATTGTTCAATACGTTAAAGATTTTCCACCACAGCTCGCTACCCAGTCAAGATGTCTGAAAAGAATTGGTCACATAATGCAGGAAGTAGTGTTGCACGATTTTGGCCAAAAATAAAATCCTGGTATTTTTCTCTGAAAACTCAAGTTTCGATTTTAGAATTTTTATTCAGTGACAACTTCATCAAACTTCACTTGTTTTTTTTAACCATCTCACAAAACGAAACCACTGAATACGATGTAGTTCATATGCCAAGCCAGTAAGTGGCGCTGTAACGCTGCACAGGAAATGCACAAAAGACAGAAGAAGAGTACAGAGCAAAAAGGTTGTTTTGGTCCATTTACAATCACCCAAAACGCTGTTTCCATGTCGATGAAACGCTGATACGACAGAAAACTTTAGCGTTTCCTCCTGAATTGGTTTCCATGGTGACGGGTTGATACCGCCTTCAGACAGACTTTGCAGAGGGGAGTGGTTTACTCTTCGTCTGAAACTGTGAAGTCGTACCAATTCAACACGACTCGCTCTTGTCCGAGAAATTATCGCCTTCTTTTGCAAACGCCATGTTTGTTTACACTGGTGTGTGTGGGAACTGGACAGCGCTCCCACAGGAAGGGGGAGGAGCCTATGGTGGCCTGGAGGCCCGATATATGATAGAGAGGAATACTGATTTGACCAATTTAATTTTTTTAACATTTAATCAAAAAAATCCGATTACGATTTTAAATTGATTAATCCTGCAGCCCTAGCAGGAAGATGTCAATCAAACTGTCAATCAAATTAGCTTGCTCAGTAAGATGACCCTCTTGGACCAGGTTTTCCTGAGAGCTCTGAAGGTTTATTCCCACTCTGATCCGAGTGGGGTCTTTCCACCGGACTCTCACAGGCTTTAATATCTGTATTATAGATGGCGGTCTAATTGCGTGCATGCTCTGACAGCTCTTAAAAGTGCCTGAGGCCAGCCAGCCGAGGGTCACGCAGCATTACGTGTTATTACTGCTCCTATGGCAACCATTTACTGCAGAGAACATGCTGCTGCATTCACTGTAATGAGAAATCCATTTGTGGACCAGGCAACAACAAAGCCCTCAATTACCGCCGGCACACTCCCAATCAACTGAATGTACATTTCTCCAGCAGCAGCAGCAGAAACAGACGCCGCGTCCCCCTCCTCCCCCCGCACAGACCCTCACCTCATATAAACTCCTCTGTATTATTTTTGACAAGCCTGTCTTTGAATCGCATTAAAGACTTCCCAGATTATTATTACAAATGTAAAATTACATCAGTGCGTCCCCCGGCCGTGGGCGCCATGATGTGCACTGATCACCGCGTTCTCAAGAGCATCTTCCTCCGGATTAGAGGTGCCACTGTTCATAAACTCATCAAAGCACAGTGAGTGCCGAGCCCTCTCAAAGATAATGAAAATGTGCCAACAATAACGCTGAGGATTAGACCGGGACTGTGTGAGCGAGGGGAGCGAGGAGGGGAGACGAAGAAGAGGAAGAGGAAGAAGAAGAAGAAGAAAAGAGGACGATAACGACGCACGCCTGCAGCAATTAGATCCTGTGTGATCTGGAAGGTTCCTCCTCACAGGTTAATGCAGCGGAATGAAGACTTGAAGAGATCGAATTCCTCCTCAGATCAGGTGAGTGACGATGAAGATGAAGCAGGAAGAGCGAGGGGAACCGTTCGCTGATTCATGTGGAGGACTCATGGGGCTATTATGAAGTACAGAGAGGTCCGCTCGCTGGTTTAGTCCAGCTGGTCGAGCAGGTGACCCACAAACAGCTGATTTAGTCCCGTCACATCGTCTGCAAACTCGACTCCTGACCTCGGCTCTCAGATGCGTGTCTTACCTGCTCTCTCCTCGCCACGAGTCATTTCCAATACAGGAGGAAAAAACCCAGACATGAATCTCCTGATTGAAGGAAACTTTGATGGAAATGGATTTGTGTAAGGACCATCACGGGTGGATCTGAGAGCGCTCCAGTCTCGGTAAAGTGTTTATATAAAAGTCTCTAAAAAGGGTTTAAATCTATCCGTTTATTCAGATTGTTAAATCCCGTCTTCATCCCAGTTTAGTGTCTGAAGGGAATTGGTGATACGACTCTTTCAAATGCTCTATTCATACTTTGTGACGCAGAATCGCTAATGCTAATGCTAATGTCGTTACCAAACTGTAGAGAGTTTCAGGTCAGACACTGATACAGATTCTTACACGGGCAGTAATATGACACAAGTACTGATACTGATTTAGTGACGACGACGACAGAATTCTAGTGCTGATCCTGGTACTGATACACATTAGGATACCAATACAGATTTGACACCGCTACACAGATACTGATATTTCTATTAAGTATGTTTGATGGTTCTGATTCTGACCCTGAGAACAGGGGGATCCAAACCCGGCTCTGACATAGCCAGATATATTGTAGACTACTTGAGGGAGAACAACGGTCTTTGTCGTAGACGTGAAGATATCTGTAGATCCGTTTTCACGAACTCTGTTACTAGGGTGACCATATTCTGAATCCCGGAGAGGACACGACTACATGGGGGCGGAGTCACAGAGTTGCACAAAGTTAATTTTGAGAGTTTTTCAGATCGGACCGAGTGTCTTTTACGCTCTCCTAACTCAAGAAGTCCACGTGACACAGACTCTAAACTACCGTACAAAACCGTGGACATTTGAAGGATTTTATAAACGTCCCGGACAAAGCCGGACAAGGCTGGACAGCCCCCCGAAAAAGAGGACATGTCCAAGTAAAAGAGGACATACAGTCACCCTACTTTTACTGGATTTGGTCCTTATCTGACTTTTAAGCCGGCAAAGACAGAACCAACTAAGTGAAATCTGGTCGGACATATTTCTGAAGATTCTGGCCGGATGGATGTGGATTTTGCTGCGGACACCTGGCCCTCCTTATGTCTCTTTTGGTGATTCTGGTGGTTAGAAGTAATCCTGAACAGTCTGAGGTGTGTCGACGGCGTTCCGGCGAATCAGCAGCTTGTCTTACATAAATCACGTCTCATGTTCTTATGCTAAATTTGTTTTTAATCCATTACCCGTCCTTGGATCATGGTTCTGACCACCTGCTGCTCATCTCTGTGGAGGAGTGAATGAATCAAAATCACTGAGAGAGGAGAAACCGAGCGGTTCAGCTCTGCGAGACGACAAACACAACAAAAACGCTTCTTCTAAAGCATCCACTCCACGGACTCATTTCTGAGCGATCATGAGGAGGACGAGGACCAAGGTGGCGAGAGCAGCTTCTGCTTTTGTCTCCTCTTATTTCCTCAAAAAGAACCAAAAAAAAAGGAGGAGAGCAGACACTCGGAGCGGGATAGTCCCAGCCATTAACCGCCGGCTGATTGCTTTGTGCAAAAGGTGCCCGAATAGCGAGGGGAAGGAAATTAGAGAATAATGGGAGGGAGTAATGAAAGAGGATGAAAACTGGCAGGCCGGCTCAACAGGCCCAGCTGAAAGAAAAGGAAAGAAGAAGAGACAGAAAGAGACAGAAAAGCCCTGAATTACAAAAGCGGCTCTAATTCACAGACACTACACTTCAGCAGGAGGACCGGAGAAAGTCCAGATCCTCAAATATTTACCCCACAGTCCCGCTCTCTGTCCGATATGAGGACGGGTCTTTGTTAACTGTAATACCTGGTTTCTTTGTCAGGTTAAGGTCACATGAGCGGTCACAACTTCAGCCTAAATCGATGAAAATACACGGATATGTTCGAGATAAAAGTTCAGAGCGAATGCAGCCTCGTCTTGACCTTGAATTTTAGTTTCTAAAACAGACGCAGCAGGTTATAATCAATAAATTCATACTTCAGATTATTATTATTATTCAAACTCCATGAGATCAACCTGAAGCCCCTTTAGTCCACTTTACTTCCTGCACACAGGTGTGTCACGCATTTTCCTGTTTTTGGAGACGGATTAGTTGAAGGACGTGTTCGCTGGGATCAGGACCAGGAGATAAAACCGTTTTTCTTACATAAATCGTGAAACTGTCAAAGAAAAACTTGCAGCCCAATGTGGATGAATAAAAATTCTGCTAAAGCTCTGAAATGATGTTTTTCGTTTCTTGTTTTTTTTTCCTCATTCTTGACCTTTTATTTTGTCTTTTGTTCGTTTCTTCACATTTTTCCGTCTCACCGCTAATTCATGAAAATCTTCCTGTCATCTCAAAAATAAAACTAAAAGCTCATGAAGCAAACTTCAATCACATCTTTAACCTTAAATATTTAATCTCAAAACTCAACAAAGACAAATCCAGTTATGATCAAATTCACCTTTTTCTGCAGAAACACATCAGAGTCTTACAAACAGCAGATCCTCTCTCTGAGGGTATAATTCACCTTTTCATCCACGTCGCCTCGCTCTGCCCCCCCCCCCTCCCTCTGCAGGTTTAAATTAGCATCCCATCTCCTGCACTCCAGCGTGTGATAACACATCTGATCAGAGCCGGCGTGGAGTCAGAATACTAAATGTGTGAGCCGGTGTGTCGCTCCGAGGAACAGCAGAGCGCTGCCAAACCATGCTCGGTAATCTCTCTCCAGTCCTCCTCCACCCTCCCTCCTCCTCCTCCTCCTCCTCCGCCTCTCCGACTCCCATCTCCTCAGTCTGCCATTTTAACCATCCAGGACCTCATGGACTCATAAAAACCTCGTTTTCTTAAAGAGAGAGAGTGGAAATTATCACAGCGTCAGTTTTTGTTTCTTTGAGCCTCATTTTAAACATCAAATAGTCCTTAAAAATAATGAAAAAGGAGAAAGTCGTTTATTTCATGTAGACTAAAGGAATATTTCACTCTTTTTCTCTAACTTCCTGCTTTTCTGATTGAACTCCTGAATGTCGGAGGAAGTCAGTGTCAGGTTGGCGATGGTTGCAGACTTCAGGAGATCCAGAGGTTCTGTTGGTACCCACAGGATGTGTTGCATTCTGGTTTTGGTGTTTCGGGTGTAGCAGCAGCGGAGTGCGGTCTGGAGC